TACCCAGGTGCACAACTACACATGCTGATAAACATTCCTGTAAAGTTTCATGACTCTAGGTCAAATACTTTTTGAGTTACGTGCGACACAAAAGTGAACGGACGGACGGAAGGACGGACGGACAGACGGACGGACGGACAAGGGTAAATCTAAATGCCCGCCACTAATGTGGGGGCACAAAAAGGTTCATCATTGCCCCACATTTAGGAATGTGGCGCACAACATCCGGAATTATTGTATTCTACAAAGCTTAGGTTTCAGAAAGCAACACTTTCTCAAACCCTTAACCTAAATGATCATGAACTGGCACTCCTTGCAGAGTTTCGTGGACATGAAATAAGTGTACATCGTCATGATTTTTATCATCTCCCTAAGCACATGACATAAGTGTACATCGTGATTTTTATCATCTCCCTAAGCACATGACTTTAGTGTACATCGTGATAAATATCATCTCCCTAAGCATACACTAAAAGTGGCCAAGGTATCAAAGATTTTAATGGCACTTGAGACAGGACAGATCACAAATTATGCTGGGAAAAGTTTGGATGAAATAGCCATTCATGGTGACGAAGGCAATATCAGTGTACATGCACTTTTTCTGCATGCTAAAAAGTTAATTAATTTCATTCTTATTGAATCATTCCGCATTAAATGCATATTATATTAAACCCTTTTGAAGCTAAGATATTGTTTACAATTCTATATAAATTGTGCATTGATTTTTTTTTCATATCAAATGATATATTTAAGACTTTTGAAGTCATCAAATAAATAAACAAGAACGTGTTTGTTAAACACAAATACCCCCGGCTCAGATTCTTGTCAGTAATAATATCCAAAATAAAGACTGTATGGGCAAAAGTGTAAACAATTTATTTTTAGCACTGGTGACATTGACCCAACTGATCCCTAACTCCATCCAAAGGAGGATTACCATGTAAGTTATCTTCCTACCAATTATAATACAAATCTGTCAATAAATAAAGGCTGTATAAGCAAGTGTAAAAATCTATTTTTAGCACTGGTGACCTTGACCAAACAGACCCCTACCTCCATCCAAATGAGAATACCTCACAAAATATACAAGACATCTGTTGATAGAATAAGGTTAATACACCTGTAAAAATGTAAAAAATCTATTTTTGACATTGGTGACCTTGACCCAAATGACCCCTTACTAAAGGAAAAGGAAGTGGACCTCCCTTTGTATGACTATTATATACATGAAAGACATTAACTTAAAAATAAGGACTGTATGAGCAAAAATGTTTAGATTTATTTTTTTACACAAGTGACCTTCACCTAGAGACGCCTAACGCCACAAAAAATTAGAGGACCGTTAAAGGTATCCACCTACCAAATATAAGATATCATTAAATAAATTAAGTAATTAGGTGAAGTTTTTTATAAATCCAACTTGGCGGAATAGGTTTACAAGGCCCTATTTTCAAAGAGATAAAAAGGGAAGTAACTGAGAAAATGGATGGCACATTTATATAACTTGGCAATATCATGTACATTGTATTGGTTAGTAAGTGTGAAAATTATTAAGCCATTAGTTCAGATAGAACATAAGATATTTCCAACTTGCCGGTTAAGGTTAACCATTATTCATTTTCCAAGTGCTGAAAAGGGCCACAGCTTTATGCAAATGGAAGCCATAGATATGTAACTTGCCCAGATCATATACTTTGTATGGATTAGTAAGTATGTAAATTATGAAGCCATTGGTACAGGTAGAACTTAAGAAAAATCCAACTAGCCGTTCTAGGTTAACCTCGTAGGGACAGACGGACGGATCAATTACTATATGCCCGGGGGCATAAAAAATTCAAATTATTATGAATATGCAACATTTGATCAACGTCGTCAAAGGACGACAGCCACAGCTTTTCCCCCTTTTTCTGGGCCTTACAGGCAGTCCACTGTTCCTGCTCCACAATTTACAACATCTGACCCTGCTCCTTGCCATTTGTATGTACCTAGTACAATTTCACAGGATTGCACATTAGCAAGTAGTGGAAATAAGAATTTCCTTCAGTATTTGAATCAGTTCAATGCACATCCTCCTCCGTGATTGACATCACAAGGCTGTATAGCACCAAATTTTCTTGTTTTTTTCGTCTGCTCATGACGTACCTATTACAATTTCACAGGACTGCATATTAGCAAATAGTGGAAATCAGAATTTCTCTGGTACTTTGGACAAGTTCATAAGTTTTTACACATATTAATATTTACCTCAGATTTATCTTTTTCTTGCAGAAATTGACGTACACAATGCTGACCCTGAAAGGTGTTTCCCTATGGTAAGAAAAATCCAAACGGATCACAGAGACAATCTCTCCGATAAAACATTAAACTCGCAGTTGTGTATGAAATTAAATTGTGATTCGGAGTGCTACAACACGGAGACATCAGCAAAGAAATGACAAGTGCAGTGAAAAAAGCATGTTTGTCATATAAAGAAAGTTCTAATGGTGGAAAGTGTGTTGAGTAAATAACATTGACATCAAAGGACAAGTGCAGTGGGAAAAAACATGTATGTTTTATAAAGAAAGTTTTAATGATAAAAAGTGGGTTGTAAATAAAAAACAATGCAAAATAAAATGTTTTTAACGAACTTGTAGTTAATGCTTTTAAATATTGTGTGTTAAGACCTTCCCTGTTTCTGAAAATCCCCCCCCCCCAAACAGACTCAATGTACCTACTTTTAGGGTCAAATCTCCCTACTTGTCACCTGAGAAAGTTCACATGTATGTCACAAGGTATCTGACTGTCAGATGAACGAAGGTAATTAAAATGTTTGTTTCATCAAATAGTTTAAAGATGAACTATTATAAAGAGTACAATAGGGCATGGAAAAAGTGGTGTCATCTAAGAGGTTCTTATTCACTTTGTGCCTCTGAAGTGGTAGTACTATTTTTTATATTACCTTTACAGATCTGGTAAGTTGTATTCTACTATAAACATTTATAAGACCATGTTACTTCAAATTTTAATGCTTTTTGGAAACAAATGGTGTAAGAAGTTTTCTGTGATTCAAAGATTTATGAAAAGTATGTTTATTTAAAAGCCAGCTAAACCTGTATATTTCTAACACAGGATGTCTCTGTAGTTCTGAGATACTTATCGAATTGATATATTTATTCTGTTGTATTCATTTTGTCTATTAGCTACTACCGGTATTTATATTATTTTTATGTCTAAAAAAGGAATTGGCGCAGAATGTTGATGAAGACAATGCTGCAGCCATATTAGAGAATTTGTTTGTTTGGGTTTTACGTCACATCGACACAGTATATGTCATATCATGACGTTCCAGGGTCGGACTTGAATTACTACTCCGTATCTTCGGAAGATCTCATTTTCCAATCAAGCGGACAGAACAGTATCCGGAAGACTCTCCAAATTGTGCCTATCAAACAGGTGGTGCGATTGGAGTAAACCACGTGACATATGCAATCCAAAATGGCCGAACGTCCTACATTGTTCCAATGCGAAGTGCTTTAAATGTTTTTTTTTCTATGAACGTGTTCGGCAAGCACCCTTGTTGCCAACCAAATGCAAGTAAGTAGAATAATAACGGTATACGAAACATACAAACCCCTTTAACATATCTTATGTTGTGTAACTGTATCTGGACGGTTCACTTCGCCTCCTGGACGTTTCGACCCAGGTCGTTTCACTTCCTACACGTTTCGGCCCAGTCCTTTTCGGCTACTATTTACCATCAACAATAATTATTCTTAGTTTCTATTTATCAATATCAGAATATTTCAGGTTGAATTTATCATATTAATTATTGTTGTAATATAATTTATATCATTCAAGTGTAAGGTGTTACATTCATTTACTGCACAAATACGTTTGCATTCCTATGTGCACCAAGGCTATATATGTAACAATTCTAAGACATACATCGGCAATTTATTGGCAAAATATTTATCCGATACACGAAGTTGTACATGTACAGTATTATATTCTTTGAAACACTGATAAATTATCAAATATAGGTCTTTGAACTTTTAAAGTTTATTTTTAAAACAGGAGTCTGGCAAATGGTGTGGATTATTTTAATATTATCCTTAAGCACAGTCAGATGGGTATTGGCTGTACAGTTGAACAAATGAACGACTGTATTATTGAAACAGCTGAGTCTGCCCGATGTTATTTATTCATGTTTAAATAAGATCCATCACATTACAGATTAACACAGTGATATGCCTAAAGGACTAGTGAACATGCCTACAGAACCAGTGAACACGCCTACAGAACCAGTGAATACGCCTACAGGACAAGTGAACATGCCTACAGGACCAATGCTAAGGGCGCGTTTGTTGACAACAAACTGAGTTCGGTTTTGAAACCGGGTTTTCAAACCTTCCATTTGTTTCGTAAAACTGGTTTTGAACTAGAAAAGGTTTGAACCATTTGTTTTCCAAAATCGCTAACTGGTTTGCAAAACCGACCAAACTGCCCCCTAAGGCGGTTTGTACGGTTTGATGTATCCGATATTACGTGCACTTGTGGAAAAAAATGGCGGACCTCGTAGATGAAAATGGAAACAGGTAAAGAAACATAAGAATTTGCCAATTATGGCGAAAGGCCAATGTTATTTAAATGGTATGTTTGTGTATGTGGGCTCAGTTGTACAAAATAACATTTTGTAAAGGCACTCTGCGATCGGCAAAGAACATTTGTACCTATTCTATGTTGAAATTCGTTCAAGATAATTCGTACCCGGTTGCAAGTCAAAATGTCAAAATGTCCCATTTTGGCACCCACAAAAAGTGAGAATGTCCAAATTTGCGACCCAAATCGCTCCCATTCCAATCAAAACAATAACTTCCATCCGTTTTAAATCATTAATTTTAAAAATTTGACTATAAAGAGGTATTTAAACATGATTTCATTTTCCAAAATGGGGGCGTTTTGACTGTAAACCTTCGTACCCCAGACAGTCGTGTACTCATCAGCGCTCATGTAGGCTACAAATGTATGTAATACAGGGCAGATCCTTTTTTAAATGTTTCAGGGTTATGGCTATTGGGCCTCTACACAGTGTCATCCCGGAACGTTTCCATCAACACCTCTCAAGAAAAACTCTGAAGAGTTATTTGGCATGTGATGAAAAGTATAGAGAACAGCTGGAAAGCAGCATGTACCCAGCAGACATTCCAGTCATTGTCCGGCAATATACAAACGCAGTGTTCCAGAGAGTGCTGAACAACCTTAATGGTCTTGGTAAGGATGCAGTCGAGGAGATACATCCTTGGGTGCTGTGCACCTTGATTGATTGGGACGAGTTTGACAAAGTCATATGCACTACAACAAATCATACTACAACAAATCATACAGGTATCTAACTTCTTGGAGTTTAACATTGACCTTCCAAACATTGATCGAATGACCATTAAAGTTTGTATTGAACATTGAAACGATCTAGCAGTACAGAAGTGTCTTAATAAGTTGATATTTTCAATAAATAAATTTTGGCATGAAAGACATGGAAATGGGTGTCATATTTAAGAAAAGGTTGTAGCTAACAGCGGTACTGTTTTTTCTATGTAGAATGTATGACATACCCTGCAATCTTGTATAATTAAGTTTCATAAATTTACGTGGAAATCTTCCATGTGTTGAGTATTTTCATTTCTTAACGGTCCTTACAGAAATGTGTCCCACTACCAGCTCTATATGCATGTATATTACATTTTGTACCATGTAATACAATGACTGAAAGTGACATAAACAAATCTTTCCATAATCCATTACAGATGACAGAGATACAGAGTCGGGAACAGGCACACCATGCGAAATGCCAGAGATTAGATCAACTGGGTTAACATCTTCCTCTTCAGATGGTGTAGGTAAGTAACATCTCCAGCCATATTTTTTATTAGCACTGCTGGTCACATACTAGTAAAGCTTAGGAGAGCTTATGTCATGGTCTGATATACATCATCGGTTTAATTGTCGTCATCATAAACATTTGCTACAAACGACATCTCTTCAGACAGTTAATGGAGAAGTGGCCATTCGTCTAAGCACATTAGCTTTTTTGCATTATTACTGTCTTGATATATCTGTGTAGATTATCGGAGCTTTTTTGCATCATACTATCAACTATCAAATTCAACTATCAGCTTCAGCTTGTCTGTATTTGTGTCTGCAGCTGTATTGCCAGCAAACAGCATAATCATTCTCAGTCAAAAATGACTTGCTAACCAATAGCAAGGAGTTTCTTCAAGGAGTTATATAGTTTATTTAAAAAAGTAGATGGATATAATATCCAGTATACCACGTTGCATTCTGGATTTAATTGACTATTTTCAGTAACCAAAACACAACCATACCATCAAGATCAGATGGTAAAAGCTGTACTACTGTGCGGCATAAGCATCCATTCCTTCATTTGACTGCTTTGAAGTTATTGTGGTTGTCATAGTGACAAAATATTGCAAGTGTTAATCGCATATTATTGTGGTCTGACCGAAAATGTTAAACAACTTGACTTCAAATGTATTCAGTCACACATAAATGCTCACATTATTATTTCATGGTGAAGGACTGATTTTATTTATAGCACCAACAAGCCAGAATGGCCATGATGGGACTACAGTTTTTTGTTCTTGATACAGGACTCTTTCAACAATCAATTTCTTTCTTTTAATTCCATCTTCTGTCATCTTTTTTTTCCCCATGGTGGCCAGTATTGTGATAATTCTTTTTCTAGCATTCTCACTGACATTTCTTCTCTTAAAGATTTCTTCTATAACAGGTTTATATTCTTCATTGTCTTTCACAAAGGCATAATAAAACATAACATAAGCATCCCACATCTGAAGAGTTGAAAGTGATAAATCATAACATGACAGCCATCTCATGGCTTATGAACTTCTCAGGCACAGAGAAACGCATTCCCAGCAACTGACATATCTCTTCAAGGTATTGACGTAAGTCAACCGACCATTTGTGGTCTGTATGTATTTGTCCAAATAAACCTTCAACCCAGTACATGAAAGGTGAACAAAATTTTTTTGTTGCATTGTGTAGATGGTGACAGACATCACCGTCGATGTCCAACATGTGAGGAGCCTTTTCTTCTCGTATCCTTTTTTCCAGACCATTTTTGGAACCTTTCATGACTGCACAAGAATCCATCAATATGGAAACAAGATTTTTCCAGGGTATATCATTTTCTTCAAAAATATGTTCTAATGCTAGATAAATTGAGTTTGTGTCAACTTTTACAACCTCAACTGCTGCTAAATGTTCACAAACAACTTTCTGCTTAGACGGGGAGAAATAATTGACCAACACTGCCAAAATATGTTTGTTGTTGTTGCTGGTTGATTCATCTATATTGAGAGAGAATGGTGAATGTCTTATTTCATTTATCGTTGTCTCATGAATTGTTTTCTTTAAGCCATATGTTAACTTGTAAGAGGCAGAAGTACGATCCATAGACAATCCATCTACAGCTTTTTTGTCTTTAGAAAGTTCCTTGGTGAGTTTAATTATCTCTGGAACCATTGTCAATGATAATGAATGCTCTGCAACAAATCCCAATACCATGGCCTGAAAAAAACATTTTTTCAGCTAGAAATTCATTACATATATGTCTTGACCTTTTCGAATACCTAGCTAAACACCGTTTTTCCAGTACATTACAGATTTAGCTCTGGGGAATCATTTTAACATTTCAGGTGAAAATAATTAATGTGTTTGAAAATCATCAAAATTCCTTTAATATCTATTGACAATATGGGCCAGCCAAATACACAAACATCCTTACACAGTGGCCATGAATCTAGAAATCAAATATCGTTCCAGACAATGGTACAGCAAGAAATGCCTTATAGGTTAACTCAAAGTGGCCAGGAGTCCTCAGAGAATGAAATGCTGGTCTCATTCCATACAATTGTACAGCAAGACTTGTTTCACAATGCCCATGAATCATCTAACATAAATCAAGTAGGCAATAACATTTCTGAACAGGTTCAACCAGGCCAGAACTTGAGAGATATTGTAGAAAATTGCATAAAGTATTGCAAAACAAATGATATCAGCAATCCCGTTGAAATACTTAGAAAAATTCAAGAACAGATAGTAACTGGGAGGCCTTTAGAACTAGAAGATGCCAACTCATCAATTGAAGGGGAAACTAATTCCATTTACATAGACAGGGATAGAGTTATGGAAACAGGTATGGAGGAAATCAGTAGCATTCCACATTCAATGTGTTAAATTGTTAAAAAAATCTAAATCAATCTTACTTAAACTGTTCAGCTTTTTCTGTCATATCAAAAATACAAGGGCAGGCTAAAATGTGTACGAATGTACAACTGATATCAATTTAAAATCCTGTTTTCATTCACAAAACATGAATATATTCCATAAGGCTATTTCGCGAAACCAAAATTGAAAATGCGGTACTTTTTCTTTCTCATTGCCAACTTCTAGATTGTGAATATTTTTGGGGGACAAAAACCATAGTTTGGTTGGGGAATGGGGCCAATATTTCGACCCGTGGGATTGGGGAAAAAAGGCCTGAATTTGGTCATATTCAACTCAAATTTGACATATGGATATGTCAAAGGAATGTGCAAGTCGAGCTAGAATTTGGTCATGGTTCGATTATTTTTGGCAGAGTAACGTCCCTTTCACTTTGAAAATAATATGAAATTATCAGTTTCCGCTCATTCCTGTTGCTGTTTGCCAAAAACACTTTACATTTGACACTAACCTTTAAATGACACTAAAGAATTTTATAAACCTGTTGCTTTTTTTTAAAAGAAAAATACTTTTAAGACCTATTCCTTAAGGTGAGCGATTTTGGGCCATCATGGCCCTTTTGTTTTACATGATTTTGACAAAACTTTGTTACTATGTTGTCTTGATTAAATCTTTTAGGATTTATACCAGGGGTCAAAAACTATGTCATGAGGTCAATAAGATAGCACGCAGGTCTCATAATGAGCGATATAGTGGCCGTGGCCTCTTGTTCTTCATTCAGAAACATGTTTCTTTGATTTGAGATGCACATGTATTGGGTAGTTCTTATTTATTAATTTATAACAGTTTCAAGTGGGGTAAATTGACATGATCATACTTATCATGTTTTACAAGTACTTTGCATGGTTGCAATTAGATCTTTGTATTGTTTCAGTCGAGGAAAGGGAAGGACCCGAGTCGTGATATGAATATCCAAGTGGGATGGCAGAATTTTTCGTACCGAGAAAAGCGCTACAAACTGGTTAAAGGAACAAGAGAATGGCCAGATTCTGGCCCAACACAACTGAAACTTAAAATCAATGCCACATTCGAGCAGATCGAAAGCACCCTCAAGAACCATTTCTTCCATGGCCAAAGAAGCCCGATTGGGCATGAAAAAAAGTTTTATTTCTCTGTTGGCACATTTAAAGGAGAAGAAATAAATAAATCGCTAACTCTGGGAGAGTTTATTAATTCAAAAGAAACAAAGACAAGGATATACCTTCTGTCAAAACCGGTACGCTTTACTTTTCTTTTCTTGTTATTAGCTCACTTGTTCTTAAAATGGGTCATGTCCACAAAGGTCAAGGTCACAGTGACTTGAAATGAGCCCTAGTTTTCGTCGCATTGCGGTGCATCTTGTTTGTTAAGTTGAAACAATAATTTTCACAAATGCATCAGTATGTTAAATCCAAACTATATTATCTTTACAGGTTTTGTCCAATACACAAACAGTTGCATATTCAGGTGTACACACTATGGTAATTACAATGCTTTGTCAAACTTTAATTGTTGAACAGACTAAAGGTGAACAGTATACATGTAGTTGATTGTTAAGGAAGGATTTTTGACTGTGACTAAATTCAACAGAATTATGACCATTTGTTAATTTTTTTCCCTATATACCATGTAGAAAAATAACTTGTTAGAGCATCTTCTCTTAAATAAGTTCACAAAGTTTGGTCAAACTCTAGGGATGAAAAGTTGAAAAGTGTGAAAGAAATGTTGCTGCAAACAATTCAACCAGAATTATGACCCTATACATATATTTATCATACGCCTGGTTAGCTCAATAGGTAGAGCGCTGGATTTTCAATCCGAAGGTTGCTGGTTCGATCCCCGGTCTGGGTTCTACTTTCTCTCTAGATGATGTCTGAAGGCAATTCATCTGTCACTAGAGCAGATAATGTGGGAAAGTTGTCAGTCACTTGCAGAGAAATTGCTAATTGCTGGTTACATATCCAGGAAAGCCGGTTAGGTGGACTGGCCGCCAAGATATGACCGAAAAAGATGTTAACTCAGAGTAAACACCCATACAAACATATAACTACACACTATAAAGGGAAAGGATTTGTGAAAGTAACCTTACTACACTGATTGATCCTTTACAACTGTCCACTTAACTTTCAACCCTCCATTAGACAAACATTGTGATAACGTAAGCCCTTCATAGAAATACATATGCTTGAGTTCATGGGCACATCTGCAATATTGGGTTATTTGTTCCACATCTTGTAGGTATCAACAACAAGCTGTATATCACAGACTGGAGCAGTGAATACTGTCAGTGGTGCAAGCCCACTAAGTCATCTAAACGATTCAGGAACACCAACAGTAAGAACTCTCTTATTTCATATTGTGCAAGACTGTGTTACAGCTTTAAAGTCTTTACTACGTTTTTATGTTAAATTGTAGAAAACACCATACCATACCATAAACCCCTTACTGTAGGGTTACGCATTGGTTGTTTTGTGTTATCATATTCTGATACCCGAGTGTTTATTTCAATAGATGGAAATCACATCCTCAGTGTGATGTCACATTAGGTTATTTAGTAAAAAAATTACTTGACTTATAATAAGTATACGGCTTGTTGAACTTTGTTTTGGCGCATGATGTCATTATTTTG